CAATTTGCTTTTTCCTCTTTGTCTTTTTATTATAAGCATTTTCCATATTGCTATGTAATTTTATTATCATTTTTTATTGTCATTCTTTGAGGTCATATACCACTGTATCACATGAATGTGCTGTAATTAATTCTACTATAGAATATTTAAACTTCATCATCATTTCTTAACAGGTAGTCACAACAGTGTATTATAAATTTAATACAAAAACATTTAGCTTGTATAAATATAAATACATCTTTTTTAAGAATTGTAGTAAACATATGTGTACACATATGCCTTCCCAATGATTAAGGATGCATTTTTAGTTCACTTCTCAGCCTTTTGGTTAAGATCAATGTAGGTTGTATTTCCAGAAGCATACATCAGCCTGTCAGAGGCTGAAATTTTTTACAATTCTTGATATCAGACAAATACCAGTATGTAATATATGAGAGATTATGTTATTTTCATCATTATTCACTCATAATAGATATTTGCACTATTTTAAGTCTTTGGAATTACTAAATATTAAATAATACTTGATTCATTTGTTTATTTCTCCTGTTCCATCTTTCGTGGGTTTTTTGTGCCATAAAGAGTACTACATACTTTGTGGGAAGCATAGATCTGTTCACTAAGACTCTTCTTAAACTCTGTCTCATTCAGAAATGAAAAGTTCTAAAGCAGCTATTGAAAATCAGAGACACAGTTGCTGATTCCTTAGGGGCTGGGAACAGAGCAGGTGAGCAGGTGAAAATGGGGTCCTGTTCCTGCCATGACCCCAGGTAAGGTGCATTACTGCCCTTGCCCAAATTTCCCCAGGGAATAAAAAGAAGTCATTGGTAATATTTTCCTAACATTTACTCAGGATGTTTCTTTACAGCAGCTCAAAGTGACTCACACCTTGTGGTCCTGATTCTCTTATTACAAATGTGATTTCACAACATTCGTTAAAAGGTTCATGGTGATTTCTGGGTGTGCCTTCTATAAATGACCAAGTCTTTGTTGTAGGAAGTAGACTATATCCATCTTGTTTGGTCAGTGGGAGGATAGGCACAGAAACAATTACTACATGAAACAGAGTGCATTGTGTTAAGAGAAGCCAAAAGGAGTGAATGAAATAGGCCAATGAAGCACATGCCTAAAGCATCAGCAAAGTAGAGGCCTCAAACCGAAATTTTTTAGAAAAAAATTAATTTTTGATATTTCAGGAAAATTGTGGAAGTGGTCATTATAAGAAAAAAGTAACACTGTGGGATGACACAATAGTCATTTTATGGTTTACTTTGGTTCATGATCAGGCACTAGTGAAATTGATCTAGTGACCCACTGTCATTTGCCCCTGGCCCCCCAGAATCTTGGGTTGTTTTTTCTTTTCTCCTTTAATGATGACCATTTGAGGTGATTATTTCATTTGATTTGGTTTGGTTGATTTTAAGAATAATTAGGGTGTTTTTGGAATTCAGTTCAAAGATTTTTTTAAATTAGCACAGGTCTAAAGTAAATAATAGTAAGTGGCCTCCCCTTAAATATACTAAAAATTGGAAAATACCAAAAATTGAAAATTCAGACATGCAGTCCTTTTAAAAAATAACAATAAGAGATGATTCAGAAAAGGAGAGAATAATTTGAAATAAGAAAAGAAAACTAACTGTAGTTGAGAAACATTCTCCACTGTGTTTTCAGTGGTTCCTTAAGCAATTTCTGTGGAATTTTCCCATCCTGTATCTTCACAGAGTAAGGCAAATATTTTGTAGAATGACCTGGGAAGCATACCAACTAAATATAGTGAGTAAATCTTGTTTGGATCCTGATTGAAACAAACCACTTACCAAAAAATATTATGAGACAATCAGGACACTTAAACATTGACCTGCATTTGATGAGGTTGAGCATTCATTTTTAGAAATGATGATGTACTGCATTACGTTATGAAGATGATTTGTTTTGTAGAGATATGTTCTGACATATTTATAGATGTGATAATGTGACATCTAGCAATCACTCCACTCCCAAATAAATCTGCGAGGGGCAGGAATGTGACTGGGTGTATGTAAGAAATGAGATTGGCCATGAGTTGATCAACTGAGTTGTTGATGCTGAGTGGTGGATACATAGGACTTTATTATATTCTTTCCCCTTTTTTATGTGTTTGAAATTTTCCAAAATAAAATGTAGAAAATGTCTTTGCCCCCTGCAACTACCTTGTTTTATATTTATGTATTTAGTAACTAGTGATACTAACTTTTCATAACTATTTGGATTTTTTTCGTGAAGTACCTATTTAATATCCTTTGAGAATTTTTCTAAAAACTGAACAACTAATTTTTACTTTTGATTTGTAGAAGCTACTTACAGATTGAAGATATTTGCCATCTAAAATATGTACAGCAAATAGTTTTAGTTTACAAATGATGCTTTCTCTAAATGGAAGCTTTTCATTGTTAAGTACTAGGAGTTGAGAGCTGCTTTATTTTTTTAAGTATCTTTGATATACAATCTTATATTGGTTTCAAGTGTACAACACAGTGGTTCAGTAGTTACCCATATTCTTAAATCCTCACCCTCCACTAGTGTGGTTACTATCTGTCAACACAGGAAGTTGTTACAGAATCAGTGACTATAGTATTCATGCTGTACTACCATCCCCATGACCAACTTATATTATGATTGAGAATTTTGTGCCCCTATATCCCCCTCACCCTTCTCACCCACCCACCCCAACCCCTTCCTCGTGGAAATCACCACTTACTTTTCAGAGTCTATAAGTCTACTGCTATTTTGTTCATTTTGTCTTGTTTTGGTCTTAGATTACACAAATAATTGAAATCATATGGTATTTGTCTTGCTCCACCTGGCTTATTTCGCTGAGCATAATACCCTCTAGGTATATCCATGTTGTTGCAAATGGCAGGATTTCTTTTTTATGGCCAAATGATAGTCTGTTGTGTACATGTACATCTTCATCCATTCATCTATTGATGGACACTTGGGTTGCTTTCATATCTTGGCTATTGTAAATAATGTGGCAGTAGACATAGGGATGCATCTATCTTTTTGAATCAAGGATTTTGTTTTCTTCCGGTAAATGCCTAGAAGTGGAATTACTGGGTCATAAGGTATTTCTATTTTTAGTTTTTTGAGGAACTAAAAAAACTGCTTTCCAGAGTGGCTGCACCAATTTACATTCCCGCCAGCAGTGCAGGAGGGTTCCCTTTTCTCCACATCCTTGCCAACATTTGTTATTTCTCATCTTTTGGATGGTGGCCATTCTGACTAGTATGAGGTGTGGGAGCTGCTTTTATGTTGCCTTATTTCATAACAAAGCTTGTGGTTTTTTTACTAGGCTTTATTTTTTAGAGCAGTTTTAGGTTCTCAGCAAGATTGAACATAAAGTACCGAGACAGCCCCCGTACCCCTGCCCCACACACACCCGGCCTTCCCTACCATCAGCGTCGAGCACCAGAGTGGTCATTTGTTAGAACTGAGGAGCCTACATTGACACACATAATCACCCAAAGCCCATAGTGTACATTAGGGTCACTCTCGGTGTTGTACATTCTGTGGATTTGGACAGATTCCTAATGGCATGCATTCACTCTTACAGTATTACTCACAGTAATTTCACTTCCCTGAAAATCCTCTGTTCTGCCTAGTCAACACTCCAAACTTTTTATTCTTATGGGATAAAACCTGCCGACTTTTAATCAAACCAGGGCTTATTAATACCCATTCAGAAGCGGTAAGCAATACCCCCTTATAAAGACATAATATCATGTTTTTCAATCTTGCTTTTTTTTTTTTTTACAATTTGCCACATCATTCCCTCCCTGTCTCTCTCCTCTCCCCTCACGTCATCCCACTCCACCATTTGAGAGTAGGTTACATATATCATGCTATAGGAACAGACAGATTTTTCTTCTATAACCATATATTAGCATACAGCCTATGCATTCAGAAAAGTTAACATTGACGTGATATTTTAAGCTGCAACCCATATTTCAGTTCTGTCAGTTGTCCCAATAATGCCTTTTATAGCAATTTCTGGTACGGGATCCAATCAGGATCACAGACTGCATTTTGCCATGTTCTTTATTCTTCTTCAGTCAGAAGTAGTTTTCTTAGCCACTCCTTATCTTCTGTAATATTGACATTTTTGAAAATTATGGTCCAGCTATTTTATAGAATTTCCCTTTGTTTCATTTTGTCTGATATTTCCTCACTTAGGATTCAGGTTGTACATTTTTGCATGATGTGTCTTCTCAGGTTTCATATCCAGAAACATGTTATGTCCATTTGTCCCTTATTGGGGATGTTAACTGATCGTGTGGTTAAGGTTTTGTCCATTTTCTTTTCTGTGTCATTACTATTTTCCCCTTTATAATTATTAAGAAATTTACAGGTGGATATTTTTAGACTCTTGTTTCTTGTCAAACACTTCCCCCTACATGTAGCATCTGATCATGATTCTTGAATGAATCCATTTTTACTATGGTGCTTAAAAAATCTGCCAGTTTAATTTAAAAACATTTAAGGAGTACTCATATGTGCTAGGCACAGGTCTAAGATTGTGTAATAATCATATGACATAGGTACTATTATTATTCCCATTTTACAGATAAGGAAACAGATTATCTGCCTGAGGTCACCCAGCAACTAAGTGTAGATAGGATTTAAACACAGGCTGTCTGGATCCACAGCATATGCTGTTATCCACTATGTAAAGCTGCCTGTTTATCCTTTACTATATGCAACCTGTCTTTGCCTACAAGCTTAATAAGAACTTTTCTTCTTGGGTTAAAATAAATAGTCACTAATATTTTCTTCCCATACTTAACAGTCTCATGTATGTGTATACCTTCAGGTGTCCACCTGAGTTGGAAATTCAGATTTAGGAACCTAAAGGGAAGCCACAAGTCAAGATTGGATTAAGGAGTCACAACCCTCAGTCTTTCTGGAGTAAATTCTGACTATCAAGTGCACTTATCAGTGTTTTTTGTGATGTCCTTGGCTGACAGGTCAATTCTGGAGCCACTTCTGGAGCGCAGGGCTTCATCAGGTGCCAGAATTGAAGATCTGCCCCTCAAAGAGGACAGTGAGAACCGGATCGGCAAGTTCAAGAGAAAAGACTGGAGCCTGACCAAGTCCCAGGTCATCGCAGAGAAAGCACTGGAACCTGATCCAACGGTAAAAAAAAAAAGTGGTGCAGAGGCTTGTCAGTGCTTTTTCTAAACCCAAGCACATCACCATTCACTTCTCATGTGAGTCACCAGTTACAAGCCTGGCCGTGGCGCTCAGGACACGGCAGCCTGTGGCAGCGTCGGATCTCCGACTGTGCCAAGGAAAGCATGTACAGAGAATTTGATTGTCTGAATCAATCAAGGCTCGAGACCTTGTCCCCACGATGTAAATATGTAGGTTGATGTTTGGGGCTGTCGTTCTCACCACTGTGTTCCATGAGTCAGTCCAAACATTGTCATTTATCTGCCTTGAACGTAAAAATATAATAGGTCCTTTTTCCTCCAAAAGCCATGTCAAACTGTTAAGTGTGGCGAGACCAAGTTTCCCTGAGAATCGGGCGGACACAGCCCAGCTGTGGTCAGAAGCAAGCCTGCGGCTCGCTAGAAAATCGCCTCTGACTCAGTTGTTCCCCGTTCGTATCTTTGCCTTGGGCTTCCCATCACATGACAGTGTGGTACGCTTAAAAGTGGCCCCGGATTTATGCTCTTTAACAAGTTTCTGCTCAGCAGACAAGCTTGTTGAAAGCACTGATGAACTCGGCCTGCCTCACCGAGAGAACGTTTTGCTGTTTCCCCCCTTTTCCCTTACCAGAGCCCTACCAGAAAAGCACAAAGGCCAAAGAGTCTGCAGTTGACAGACAACCGGCTGACGCCGTTTCATGGTTCTTCAACTCCTCAGTCCACACCCTTGAGCCCACCTCCACTCACTCCTAAAGCCACCAGGACCTTAAGTAAGTTTTCCTATGTATATCCCATATATTCGTTTTACTAGGGAATGGAGTATGTTTACCCAAAACAGCCACAAGGTATATGAGATTATTGGAAAGTTGGTTCAATTCAGTGGCAGTGGGTATAATACAGTTAGACTAGTGTTTGGCAAGGAGTCTTTAAACTTCCCTGAATAGTGATCTGAAGGGTCTCACTACCCCTTTTCCAACTGTGCAGGTATAAATAAGATAGATCCAGACTAGAACCAGACAGGAAGCAAGCAACGTAGGAACTTTGGGGTAAATAGGCCTGTACTTTGTATGGGGTAGGGCCCAATACAAGGATTAAAAAATAGACTAGGTCCATATACTCCTTCAGTCATGCTTGAGGAATCAGCAGCATGCAATGCCTTAAAATTACAAGGTACCCTCGGTAGAGAGGAATATAGGAGGGGCAAAACCATGTGCCAAACAGGAGACAAGAGTCAACCAAGAGCTAGAGATACACAGGAAAGATTTCCTGTAGGAAGTAGATATTGCACCCTTTAAATGATGAAACTAAGACAGTTCAGTTACATTTAACCAATATTTATTAACCACCTACTATGTGACACATTTTTTTCTAAGCACTTGGGATATACAGAGAACAGAGTAATACCCTAAGTTCTAGAAAAATGTCCTCAGCTTCACCTTAATAGTAAATATCTTCAACAACAAAAATGGGACTTACTACTTAAGAACATCTTGTGCAGTCTTCCAGTGCATGAAGGGTGCTACATTTGTCTGGAGAGGTAAAAGGTCCTTTTTGTTCTGTCCACTGAAACCACAAAATATAACCCTAGCAATTGGATTGACCAGATTGGTTTAGGTGTTAAAATGACATGCCTACATTCCTGGAGAGTCCTTGATGAATTCTTTCTGCTCTCATCTCCTTTATATCATTTCCAGGCTCCCCGTCTTTGCAGACAGATGGGCTGATGACTGCTATTATCCCGCCTCCCCCTCCCCCCAAGAGCAAGCCCTATGAGGGCAGCCAGAGGAACTCCACAGAGGTAGGGGAACAGCGGCAGGCCCGGGGCCAGAGGGCACCACCCTGGGGAGGCACCACCGAGTCAGGTTTCCCATAGATTTGTCACGCTACTTGATTCTTGGTTCATTCCTGAAGCCACAAAGGTTAGGGGAGTTGTCAGTGGGCTGAACCATATGCAAGGAGACCTTTTCATCAGATTGAAGGTAGAGCTTTTCTGTGTACCTCCCTCTGGGTCCAGGTGAGTGAAACAAGGAGTTCTGGTTCCCATTTGAAGAGTATACTTCTTCTGAGTGAGCAACAGTCATTCTGGAGTGGCCCCTGATGGGTTCCCTTTGTTCATTCAGCAGATATTTCATGAGTGCCTACTGTATATGTGCCAAGTGTTGGGGATTTAGTGGTGTCGGTGTATATCTTTAACTCAGAGAGAACAAAGGTATGGATAAACTCAGATCAGTTAGAAGCTAAAGCAGAATGTTGGAGATGTGGTAGAGAAAGCAGAATTTGGAAGGAAGGTAAAACTCATCTCTGCCTTCTGTGTGTCTGCTGCCCCAGATTGCTCCCCCTCTGCCTGTTCGAAGAGAAGCCAAAGCCCCACCCCCTCCACCTCCAAAAGCCCGGAAGTCTGGCGTCCCTTCTGCGGAGCCTGGGTGCCAGTAAGCAGCTTGTCATCTCTCAGAGACTGTGGATGCCCCGGACAGCTGGAGCCTGACGACCAGCCTCAGGGAGGCAGTGTCCGCAGTGGCACGGGGCCCTCCGCTGTCTGCTCTGCTGATCCAGGATGAGGTTCACCAACTCCTGATTCCGTTTTTTCGAAAGCTTCTCTTTGGCAGATGCCCGAGGACGTGCCACATCTCCTCCAGTCCATGTGGAATTCCAGAATTGACCATGTGTGCATTTCTCAAAGAAGAGCTCTTCCTCACCATCATTAAATTTCATCCTCTATCACAGAGCCACTGGGACCTACAAAAATCTGGGGAAGTTCTGTGCTGGTGGTAGAGCTGCCCAGTAACCCACGCCTTGCAGGGATTTCTGCTTTGCTTCTGAAAATCTTTGCTTGAGACTTAGTTTTCTCACACGGACATGCTCTCCCGTAGAGCATATTGGAAGGGACCTACATCAAATTCTTCGGTAGCCAAAATAATCGTATCTTCTTAATGACTCTTGTGTTTCCTTTGAGGAAACAAACATATTTTTAGTGTAGATTGGCTGCTTTAAAGTATGAATGGCTATCATAATTGAAAAAATACAGACTCAGTCTCGAGCCCAGAGCTCTGCATTCCCCTACCCACTCGTGGCACTGGGAAGTTTCCCCTGCCCTCCCCAGGAGTCCTTCACACTGCAGACTAATGGCCCTCACTGCTTGGCAGTATCTCCTTCATGCTACAGACTCCTTTGAAGCTCTTTCTTTTGCACAGTTTCCTATCTGTTCCTTCCTCTGAGCTCAGATCACTGGACATAAGGGACTTAGAAGCCCAGGTCAACAGCTTCTCTTCGGATCCCACTTGGATGGCTCAGCAGCCCCTATCTGCAACCTGATTTTACCCTGGAGAATACAGTGCAATATCCCCTTTGATTATTTATTCCTCTTGTTTGTGGAATTAATTTGATTACATTTTTATGGTACTAATGTCAGTATTCCTTTCAGAAGAAAAAAAATGGGGTGATTTACATGATCCAGTATTCCCTACACATGCATAAATAGCCACGCAATTAAAGACAAGTGTTTTGAACTGAAAGGAACTTGAAGGTCATACAACCAATCCCCTCATTTTATAGATAAAGAAATTGGGGCTGAATACAGAAATCCTTCTACAGAGTCTTACTAATAACTGAGCTTGCTAATTGAGGCAATGCCCAGATAATGCTTACCTCTAGAAAACAACCCTGACAGCGTCTTTAATACCTACCACTAGTTGGAACAGCAGTGGAAATGTCGCAGAACTTCTATAATACTTACGTATTTATGGCAAAGTAGTAAACTTTTTGGCTGGATCTCCTAAGTCAACATGTAGGGAAGCCCCCCCCGGGGGCTCGGCCACAAGCTGGCCTTGTCACCTTTCTTCCTAAGTAGAGAAGGGAGAGAAGGGAGTTTCACCTCTGAGCATTTGGATTGGCTGGTCTGCTGCTTTGTTTTGGTGCCCATTTAGGAGAGACGTATTAATTCATGACCAGTCAGGGAGGTAAAAATCTCTGAGACGTGGCCAGCATTACTTCAGAAATTGGTATGCATGTTTAAAGGGAAAAAGTTATTTTTCACCTCCACCCAGGAAAAACCTACAAGATGATATGATGGAAAGAACCTGGGCTTTGGAAGTAAATCCATTCGGTTTCAGATCATCCGAACTGTGTCGTCATCTATTAACTTTTCAAACTCCCTCAAATTATTTGAAGTTCCCCAAAATGGGGATAATACCTTCCACATAGGAGGTTCCAGTGAGATCGAATATGTGAACCGGCTAGGAGCGCACAAAATGACCCTTCCTTTTGTCTGCCAGGCCTGAGTAAGATCTGGAACTTTCTAAGAGCATTATTGATGTTCCTCTTTTTCCCCCCGAGGTAATTTGGAGTGTGAATGAGGGTTAGTTCTGTCTTTTGGAGTCTCATACATCATTGTTTATGACTAGAGAAAAAGCATGAATAAGAACTGAAGAGGATTTTAAGTGGTAAGAACTCAAGAGAATGGAGAGGGGGAACAGAAAGGTTATGCAGGGCTTACTGGGAGCCTGGCGCAGCTTCTGAGAAGTTGCCTGGCCAGCTGGCTGGCTGGACGGGGTTCCTGTGTCTCCTCCTACTTTTCCAGCTGCCATTAAAATAGAAGGATATAAACTGGGTCACAAAGAAACTGACTTAAGCATGTCCCTTCAGAGCAGTGGAAGCCAGTCCCGCAATCTGTCTTGGTTGGAGGCTGGGAAATCTGAAACACCCGTGCCCAGACACCCTCCCTTTTCTAATGGAACATATTTTCCATGTGATTCCCTTTCCATATTAATGGAAATACTAGGTCTTTCCTGCCTGAAAACAAAGGATTGCAGGTAACATCATCAGTAATGGATTACAGGGGCTTTGGAAGCCGTCTCTTTGGGAAGCTGCTGGGTCCGAAAGAGTCATGTTTGACAAAAGACCATGTCTCCTGAAATCAGAGGAAGACTGCAGAGAAATGCCCATGATTACCTCAAGTACGGGGGGCGATGAGGGACAGGGAATAAAAAGAGAAAGAATTGGTCTTTATTTTCCTTGATGAGCACCCTAGGATACTGAAAGACATTTGAAAGCAGCCCCAGACGGTCACAACCTTTCTGGATACTGGGGTTTGTGGATTTTTTTAAAATCCCCTTTTTCCTCTCTGTCCTGGTGACGTGTCTTCCTTTGAGGGTTTTTTTTCCCCCAAGATTTCTTTCATTCAGCACTTACTAAGCTCTCACTGAATGCCAGGCACGGTACTAGACCCTCAGGATGTACCAATTCAATGTGTTTGGTGGAAAGAGGCTGGGTATACAAAGGCTGGTGTGCTGTGGGGTTGGCAAGAGGGAGGTGGTAGAAGAAAGCGCGACCCTAAATTCGGCTGCTGGGCCAGGAGTTGCCTCCCCTTCACCTTCACACGTTGATTCGAGAATTGCAGCCATTCTCTCCTGTCTGGAGATCGTGAAAAACTGCAGTCACTGCAGATTCTAAGACAAAATAAGAGGCAAAACAGGAGCTGAGAAAACTTTCTAAGCTGGCAGAGTCCTTCCCCTCTGCTTGCCCCCAGATCATGGGGTGATGTCTTGTTTTAAAATTTAGGCAAAGCTTAAATACAGTTAAGTGCACAAATCTTCAGTTTACAGAGGGATGAAAATTTAAATATGGGCGTACACCCCGTCAGTCCCTCTCAGATCCGGAGGCAGGCACCTGGCACCCAGACGGCTCCCTCACACCCACGCTGTCCTTTGGTAAAAGCTGTTTAGAAGGCCCTTCAAATTTACACCTTCTGTCCTCTCACTTCTCGGGTATAATGAAAAGGGGAGAGAACACCAACCAAGGACGCAGAACAAGACTAAAGATGGTGTACCTTTGGGTAAGTCCATCCGTAGTCAGTCCCCAGGCCTCAGATTTCCTTATGTGAAAAATATGTATGTATATTTGAGGTTACATGATTTTGAGAATCCTTTCAGCCCTAGCTTTCTTTGATTCTAAGTGAATGAAGAGTCAGAAGGAAACTAACTTTCTGTAAGTTTATGTACAGAAGCCTGTAGCCCCTTGCACCATGACCAAGTAGGATTTTAAAATTAAGTTTGAAAAGGTAAGTTCCTCTTTGGGTGGGTTAAGAGTAGAACCATCAGTTGCAATCTACAAAAAGGACAAAGGTAGTTTTCCTTACAAGGTGATGATTTCAGGCTGATTCTTATAATCCAGCCAAAGCCGGTCTCCAGTATAAGCTGCCCAAACTCATCTCTTAGTCAAATTTTGTGAGTTGTTCATCCAAACTTTGTCAAAGGCTCTGTTGCCCTGATTTTGTTGATTAGTTGGGTTTCAACATGGATAGTTAGGAAGATGGGCATTGGACTAGAAAATTGTGTTCAGATTTGCTGTATTTATTTTTTAAATTAAAATGGAAATGTATTTTAAAGTTTACTGTGCTTAGTTTATTATTTACCTGTATGTTAATGAAAATGAAACCGCTCCTGAACTTCTCCTTTTGACACCTCCTTCATGCCACATCACACCCAGAGTCCCTCTGGCCTCACTCTGGCCTCCTTTAATTACAGGTCTTAACTAGTTTAAACTTGCACTGTGGTGTCAGGAAGGCATCTTCACATGGAAGCAATGAACGCTATAAACCATTTGGTTTTTTCCTCACCTCCACCTGCCGTCATCCATCCCTTTGGCATCTAAGCTAACAGCTGGTGATAACAAATTCAGTTATTGCATAGAACAATTCTCAAACTAGGTTGAGCATTAGTGTCACACCTGTGAAGAGGCCACACCCAGGACAATTAAATCAGAAATTCCAAGAGAGGGGAGTGGGACCCAGGCATCCGTATTTCTTTTAAATCTCCCCATCTTCCATGAAGGTCAAGGCTGAGAACCACTACCTTTCAGGAAATAAGAGCTTTAGAAAATTGGTGTTCAAAGTGTGTTTCTTAAATCCCTGTTGGTAGTGTGTTGGGTTAGAGAGAGGGGCAGCTACACTTCAGTCAGAATAGCTCCCTTGTTTTAAGGCCTGGGCTTATGCCTCAGTGTTTTGTTTTTTTAAGAGAACATCCCAGGGCTTTTAAACATTTGCAATCAATTGCTCTTTGGAGCAATAATGCTCCATTGCCTGTGTACGTAAGAATCACAGGGAAGCTTGTTAAAAATGCAGATGGCTTGTGTCCCAGAGATTCCCAATCCATAAACTTGGGGAAATCTTAGGGTCCTCATTGAGAAACCCCACTTTGGAGCACCACCGACAATGACAGTGTCTAAATGCTGCTCTGTCAGCCGGCGATGGCTCAGGTTTCCCCGTCACCTCCACGACGCGGTAGCTCCTGAGCCCTGTGCTAAAGCGGTGCACCTGCAAGTCACTCTGCTACTTGACCGCCTGAAGCCCGATGTATTTGAGAACTCATCTCATCAAAGCTACCATATGGTGTGTGTCTTTATTTTGAAAGGCTGCAGACGTTTTTTATTGAAGCTACATTGTTGAGTTAGAGCGTTCTTCAGATTCAGGATGCTTGAAATGTTAACAAAGGGGGTCCTTTTCACTCTCCTTCCCCTTAGTCCTTTGGGCCATTGGAGCATTAAATACCCAACATGTTCACATAAGTCGCGAACCACTGGATGCCGCCCTGAGCCACCAGAATCAGCATCAGGTAGCTGATGGGCACCTTCTTTGAGCCCCACTCGGAGGCCCACAGCGGCTCCAAAGAAATCATCGCAAAGACAAGCTTTGGCAAAGGAAACCTGAGACTCAGACACGAGCTATAATGTAAGTGGGTGTATTGTCTTCTTTTTTAATGTGTTAAGTAATATAAAGGTTGTAAAAGTCTTTCTTTCAAAAAAATAGTTACTGATTGGCAAATGGGAGCCTGCCATCCTGCCCTGTGTACAGTGATGGATGAAATAATGAGGTTTTGCATTGTGTTCCAGGAAGTGGACATGGGCCACATCTCTGCCTGATTTTATTAAAGTGGGAGTGAAGAAATCCTTTGATTCTGTTTTAGAGATTCCATATATGGAGATATTTGGGAAATCCAGCTTCGTGTGGTAGCAAATATTTGTGTTTAAAAGGGAGGGTCTTCTCCCCTATGGGCTCTTTCTGACCCCCGTTCAAACCTCTTAGCATGGCCGCCCTTTTCTGAGCTGAAGAGGGGAGGAAATTTCCATCTGTGTGATTGAAAAAAGAAAAGGAACTATTTCCCTGCTGTGTGACTGTAGGCAGTTTGTTGCTGTGACATCAGGCAAGTGTCTGAAATTTGAGTTTTTTCAAATGGGCTCAGAGTCACTTGGAAGTTAGGAGGGAAAGTGAGAAAGTGTCATCGTGTCTGGGACCCCACAGAGAAACGGTCACTAGTAAACTAAGTTGATTCAAGCCCCGGCTTCCTGTTTCAGCTCCAGTTAAAATAACGAAGCTTCCAAAGCCACTTGCACAGGCTGCCCGTCAGAGGGCAGTGCAGGGGCCTGACCGTGGAACCCGGCAGACGTGGGTGCGTCCCTTACACGCTTGGAGCCCTGGCTTCCTCAGCGTAAAGGGAAGACAGTACCTACTTCTGTTTCAGCTCCAGTTAAAATAACGAAGCTTCCAAAGCCACTTGCACAGGCTGCCCGTCAGAGGGCAGTGCAGGGGCCTGACCGTGGAACCCGGCAGACGTGGGTGCGTCCCTTACACGCTTGGAGCCCTGGCTTCCTCAGCGTAAAGGGAAGACAGTACCTACTTGCCAAGGACGTTATGAGGGTTAATGAATATAGGTATGCATATATCCTGCACAAAGCCTGGCACTGGCCTTTGTGCAGAATGCATGGTGGCAGTGCTGTTCTGAGCAGGGGACAACGGAAGACCTGAGTCCCGTCTTCAGCTCTCTGCACTCGGTAGTGTGTCTCAAGAGAAATACCAAGAAGATAAGGCCCATGAGCACAGTATACATTTTTAGGCCTGGTCCCAAACCTCAGGACGCACCACTTGCTCTGGATTGCTCAGAGAGAGACCACGTGGAACCAGAGGGGGCACGGGACTTGCAGCCCAGCAAGGCCACCTTTTTGCAAGCGCCTCTCAGGTTCTGGGACTGGAGACAATCTGGGCAGGGAACTTCTTTCAAGTGGGAGGAAGCCTTGCCCACGGCTCATCTTGCTCCGCAGACTCTGGAGACGGGCGAAGCTGCAGCCTGTGGAAAACCGGCTGCATTGGCCTTTTTAGCCCCAACCAACGGGAGACTGTTCGCATGGCGGTGGGCTGGTGGTGGAGGAGCTGGGACACCGTGAGCAGGGCCGACCTGCCACTGTCGGCTCTCATGCGCCCTGTAGGTACACTTGCAGTTCTCTCCTGGGGAGCTTGCAATGTCCCTCCCCCAGCAAACTTCCGAGTTAGAGACCTTAACATTTATGCCACTTTATTCACAACACGGCCCTTCATTATGAAATGTGTGCAACTTAGCATGAGAATTTCTGAAATTCACACACTTGACAGATAATAAATGGGTCACCGATTTCGGTGTCAGAACGACACTTCAGTGTTGTCGGTGCTTCCGGCCCAGTGGGTTTAAATCTTCTGCCCAGTTTCCTCTTCAATCAGACTTTCCTGAAATACATGTGAAGTAACACATATCTCAAGGGTGATATTACACTTGAATTGCATTATGTTTTTGACATTTTAACTTCTAAAATATTGATAGAGAATAGATCCATTTATTTTTGTGTACTAGGAAGTACTAGAGAAATAAAACCATATCTTTTAAAAGTTGCTTAAAAAGCATAACATCTACATTAATAGTTTAAGGATAGGATTTGGGGAAGGAGGTGAAGGAAAGTATCAGTTTAACCTAGTTTTTGCCTTGTTCTTTCTTTTTAACGTCATGTTTGCAAAATTTCACTGGTTGCTGTTTTGTTCATCATGTGGTAAGCTGGATTGGAGAAAGGCAGGAAATATAAATCCTGTAGTCTGCCTTTCTTCTGTGTCCTATAGGTATGGAAGTTGAGGTTCAAGGAAGGAAATGAAAACTAGCTCATCTTCCACACATGATGTATTCAGGCTTTTCCTGCCCCTCGGTGTGACTGACAATTAACTGTAATGCCTTCTGACTACTGCGGGTAAACGAGCATGCAGCTCGGAGAACACCAACAAATTCAAAACTCAATTTCTATATTCAGTTCTCTTTATACTTCTTTGTAAAAATCAAAAACCTACATTAGGTTAGTAGATTTCCCTTTTGGGTGGGAATTTGGAGATCACTGTGGTCCAATCTGAAAACTGGAAATCGAGAATATTGCTCTGAAGTATAAATTTACTAGTTTGAAATGTTTATTCCAAAGGGAAAAACATAAATGAATTACGGCACCTTGTTGGTTTCTACATTTCCCACAGAAAACCATGCCCTACCAAAGAACAATTAAGGAATCAGGTGGCGCGGTATGGATTGGGCTAGCCTAGAGTGGAAAAGTCTAGGGCACTTCGTGAATATACCTGAAGAACTGACATGTGGCAGTGGGAAGAAATCTGTCATCCCAAAGAGTAGAGCCATGATTAGGAGATTACAGGGGGTCTATGGTCACAAGAAACTTTGCAATTCTGTTTAAGAGAAAGAAAGGTCCCAACCCTTATACTGTCCAGGTGCTGAATGGGGGTGTGGGCAGTAGTGCGGGCAGGACCCCGGGCCAGGAGGAGCTCAGGCCCTCAGGCAGGTGAGCCCTGGGACCGAGAGGCGGCTGTCCTGGGCGCACACCCTCAGAGGAGGGACCCGGGGCCCGTCCATCTCCACAGCTCCCACTTTTTTCGCTGTGACTCACCAGAGCCCCTCTCAGGTCCCTGAGGGGAGAGCGGGGCTGGTGGACGGAGCATTCGGGGCGCGGAGGTTCTGCCGGCTGACTGACCTCTCTGGCCATCTGAGGAAACAGAATGTGATTCTTGGAGATGAAAAGGAAGCAGTATTTTCCATTTCCACTGAAAACCTTGTGTGGAAAGTGAGGTCCAGGGGACTGTGGGACTGAGGTGGCAGCGGCATGAGGATGGGCCTTGATGAACACCCTCCATGCGGGGTGCCTGTGCAGCCTGGGGGGCGGGGGCAGGAGGCACTAATGGAGACAGTGGCCGCAGCGCAGTAGGAAGCATATCGCACCCCAGCCCTGGCAACAAGGGAGCCCTGAACCTCCAGAGGGGACAGTGCAAAAATCACAAGGGCTTATGGTTTTGAATGGGGTTGGTTTTTATCTTCTAGTCTTCACTGAATGTGTCACAGTTACATGAGAGTTGCTCCACATGTAATTCGGTGGAGAGACCGCAGATTCTGGAGCGTCTTTATTTCAGGCTACATTATGTTCATTACTTTCTCCAAAGAGCTGTCTTTCCATTGAAAACTAAGTGGCTTTCAGTTTCTTTAGCTCACCCACCTTTTAGGGCCTCGTTCATCTCCCATTAACTAGAAAACAAAAGCTATTTCTTATTAATCTGCTTATGGTTTTGGATCGGCCAGCTCACTGACATGGCGTCTCATGTAATCCTCACAGGGTCCAAAGGACTCTCGTTTCATAAGTAAAACAAGAATTCTGTATTAGTGCTGATTCTAATGATATGAAATCAAACCCAGCATATTTTCTAGCATCTATTTTGCCTCTTGAGTTTGCTGACTCCTCACTCTAGTGGCCTCCAAATTCTTTGCTTAAACGCAAAAAGAAATGATAGGGCATGCACTCTTGATAAGGACACTTGTTTCTACATTTTAAAAATGTACTGCTGAGCTATGATCACAGATATTTTTAAAAGATGAAATAAGCAAAGAAAAAAAAAAACCCCACAAAGAATAAAAAACAAAAACATAAGCAGAGTTCTATGATTTTCTTTCCAGAATCATCTTGCAATGGAGACCTTGGCTGCAACTGAGCGCTTGTGCGTCCCTGGCCATCCCGTATACTCCCAGGAGGGTCCGCTACGGCACACTTGCTGCTGTGGTCTCCTGGGATTGCCCCTGCTCTTTGTTTCCTGAGTCCCTGTCTGAATCGAAAGCAGGAATGGGGCCTCACTTGGTACGTGTCTGTCCACCCCAGAATACCTGGGCTGGGTGGAGTCTGGTCAGCGCTGATGGGGCGCACACAGAATGTAAGCACAAACTCAACCGTGTAAGCCACCTCTTATTTTGAAGATGGGAGAGATGTACCTCTTGGAAGGAATCAATCAAATTTTCAACGTTTCTCTTTCCTCCAGGGCGCAGTCCGTAGGACCAGTGTTGGCTGGAGCAGCCCACCACACATATGGTCAGCAGAATGAGTCCAGCTAGAAGTTTCGGAATCCGCTCCATTCTAAGGACCATCAAGGCAACAATCAAAATAGACCCACACTATATGGAGCGAAAGGTAAAGGCCTCTGGTACAAAGCTTAACATTTGTATTGCTAACCCCACACAGGACAGACTGTAGTAGGAGTCATCTACAGTTTTTACGTGCAGACCCTGAAACACACATACCCACTTGCTTGCCTTGAGTTTCCTAGTCACTGGAGACACAGTCAGTACTTTGAACTCACATGCTACATATTTTTTAGTACTAAGCTAGTCCATATTTATTTTCATTATGGGTATCCTTGGAGATATCACAGGTTAGGTTCCAGACCACTGCAGTAAAGCGTTTATCACAATAAAGTGAGTCAAATGGATTTCTGGTTTCCCACTGCATATAAAAGTTATGTTTCTACTACACTGTCATCTATTAAGTGTGCAATAACATTGGCCAAAAAAAAGTACAAACCTTAACTAAAAAAGTGCTTTTCTGCTAAAAAATAACCCTCACCTGAGCTATCAGAGTCATACTCTCCGATCACAGATCACCCTAACAAATATAATAATGAAACAGTTTGAAATATTGCGAGAATCACCAAATATGATGGAGACTCAAAATGAGCAAATGCTGTTGGGCAAATGGCACCGAGAGACTGGCTCGCACAGGCTTGTCACACACCTTCAATGTGTAAAAAATGCAGTGTCTGTGAAGCTCAGTGAAGCGAAGGGCAATAAAACGAGGTATGCCTGTATTTATTTGGTTCTCCACACCCCATGATTTATCCCTTATTAAGTTTACCTTTTTGCCTTAACATATCCCCACCCACCCACACACACACCTTTATCTCAGTTCTGGAGATAAAGAGAATTGGGCCAGCTGCTTTGAAAAGCAGCTCCTGCTAGGAATCTGGTAAAATGGCTGCACTGTGGCACTAATTACTTTCCTGTCTTCTACGTATTACTGCTGGCAGGACCATCTGTGAGAGTGAGAGAGGGCTCAACACTTTTCAGAGCACCAAGTCCCAGACCAGATGCTTCCCTGGCCAAGGCAGCCTTGAATTATCCAACTGACACGTGGGATTCTCATAGTCTCCAAGTTAATTTTCATTTGAAGGGGAAGAGGCTAAAGATACAATCAAATACTGGTCAATGAGCTGTTGCAGTTCCCCGAAGGCTGGATCTCTGTAGCTGGGGGTGGCAAGGACCGTGAAGGTCAAAGTGTCTTTAGAAACCGTCACACCTGGACTTAGCTTTTTGGGTGTAAAATGCCCTATAGACAGGCAGTAGCATGCTGTCTAAAAGATGTGCTAGAAACACAAAGCGTTTTACCTGTTGAAGAGCAGAGAACCACGAGTCTCAGGTGTCCTTCAGAGTGTGTTGAATATTGTGACTTTTTGTTTTCCTGGCTTCCTTTTTATATGAAACTTTTCCAGGAAACTGAAATCTTTCCTGCTGGTAAATTGTATTGTACGTGGACTGTGGTTTTTGTTTTTTAATAGTAACTTAATTTTCCAGTCCTCACATAAAGTCCTTTAATGGTGTAAGTAATTGGAACACCCACTGGTATATCTGTTAAATGTACTTAAATCTTGGCCATTAAAACCTCAGCTAAGACTTTTATAGCTGAGGCCACAATTCAGAGATTAAAATCTAGGTAGGCTGGATTCTCTTGAGGAAACTGACAGATCTATTGAGAGTTCAAGGAAAATAGCTGTCTTAGATTATGTGTTGTTAAATGCACACATAAAACTTTCGCAAAGGAAGCCATGTAATAATCATAGAAGTTGAGTCAGGATGCCTAGGAGCTGATCTCAGCTCTTAGATTCCTCATTTGTAAAGGGAGCTGATTTATAAATAAGAATTGATTATTGGCACTATTCCAAGTCCACATAGGACCCTAAAGTAACTCATGTGAGGTTGAAGATTTCCCAGTCTCCTAGTACCAGATTCCTTCCTTGACTTGCTTTGAAAGCCCTCTATGGCATCAAAAATTGAAGGAGAAGCATTGTAGTTAGAATATACTAAGCCCAAGACCATCTAAAACAGACTTGGGGTGACAGTTTGACTCATTTCAGTAGGTGCTTATCAAGTTAAAATATGCTTATCACTGTGCCAGAGGCAGTGGGGACACAAAGGTGAGAAGTAACAGTTACCTGGCAAGTGATAAGACAATTCTCACTCATTAGAACGGTCCTGCAAAGAGATTGTTATCTAAATGTTACAGGTAGATGTTACAACCCAGTGGTGGGCCCTTGGACATTTCATTTCCACAATACAGTATTTAATAAGAGAGGGAGAATCATTACTCCTCATTATTTGGATACATTTGTACCCTAAATTCAGCCTTGAGCTGTAACTCATGACAGTCAAGGATCCCATCTTATTTAAACATGTTACTAAGTCCCTAGCATTTACCCAGCATTTAATAAGTATGTTTGAATGAATGAATGAATGAATGGAAAATAAGACCCATTTAATCTAATTGGCCTAATGCTGCCTCTATTTCTGCATCAAGTATGTTTTATCTGACATACACTTAAACCTTCATGTATAATTAATTGGCTGTAAGGCCTGTTTGTTACATTACTCAAGCAGTAAATTGGGTAGAGGTAACTGGATATTTGTTCATTTTAGAGTTAGGATTGGTACTTTCTCCTCCGGGAAGGATGCTAAACCAATCAGTTATTGTCCAGGGTCCTCTGGAATAGTTACATGTGCAGGGATTTCAGCTTAAAGAGCAATGTTGTCCTACCCGAATTAACTCCCTGCTTTGCCCAGTCACCTCTGTGAAAGGTGTCAGAGCCTCATGAGAGGATCACGAAGGGGCTAAACTTTAAAGTATAATTACAAATATAGGGAAATTAAAAAATAAAACATACGATTGATTTTATTTCATTTAAATTAATTATTTCATTTAGACACTGAACAAAGTGCCCTTCTGCGGTGGAGTGGAATCTCATCTCTGTATAATATAAAGGTAACGAGAGGCTGTTTTTCAACAAGAGTTCATTATGTTTGAACAGTGTTTAAATTGTTCAATTGATTTCCTGTTTGCTGAAAGAGATGTACTTCTCACAGTGCTGCTTAAGCAACTGTGGTCTTTGGTTGGGACTAATTGAGACAGGGACCATGGATGTAGTCAGAGTAGGGTGAGAGCCTCCGGAGGAGGCAGGGCGGGATATTTGCAGTCAAATGTAACTACATGCAAGGAAACCCCCCTACTAAAACTCCATGTTAAACATTGAGCTCTAGAATCATTCTTCAGTGAGATCAGTTAAAGTTCCCCAGATAAAGAAGAGTAGCACATGTTTTATGATGCTAATCATTTGTAACCATGTGTAAGATTCACTTTAGCATGCGAAAAGGCCCAGGCCTATGTGCTGTCGTTCCTCCTTCGGATCTGACAAGGTGATTTTGCAAACTGAGCGACTTACTTAGCCTGCAGACCCAGCTGTAGACGGCATAGTAAAAGGCAGGGAGAATTCCATCTTAAAGATAAGATTGCATTTGAACACCCAGGAAGTTCAAGAGGCAAGATTCTTTAGCAGGTAGACAATACCTCAGCCCACCTTAGGGGCTGGGCATGCAGCCTTTTGATATGCTCCCAGACCAAGGCGCCGGGGTCCCAGAGAGAAATCAAGGCAGGAAATTCCTTACAGTTAATTTTTAATATTCAGGGACCACTTAACAAGTCCCCACCCCTAAGTTTTTTCATGTTCTCGAAAAATCCTCAGCTGCCTATAAAACCCCCTAGACAACGCACCACTACGGACTCTCTTGTCCCCTCCTGGCGTGAGCCGGAACTCTGTCCTTTCACTGTATCTCTAAATAAAAGCCTGTACCTTGCTCTCCTACCTTGACTGTTTGTGAAGCTCATTCTTTGGCTCCGCAAACAAGAACCCGGCATCATAATGATATGGCAGGTAAGACTTCTGACCCTTATTGTCACATTAATCACTTATCTCCGGTGTCAGTTATTTCTGTCAGTTGATATTAAATGTTTGGAAAATGCTTTGAGATCGCTAGATGAACACAGCCACATGGTCTTTTAATTCATTCAGTATGCTTTCTGCCCTCTGTGTCTGCCTGAGTATGTGTTAGGTCACATGAATCACAAGGGCAAAGGCCAAATATGTCTTATTTCCTACAGCAAATATATGATTAATGGGACCTTGGTGTTCAGTATCAAACTCTGAACCTTTTCATCATAGTTCCAAGGAGAGATCAATGAACCACAAAGCTGAATTTTAGTAAATAGGGTTTACATAATTGGATTTTATAGTTGTCACACATTTTTTTCTTAATTTAGTGGTTCCCTGAATTTTAAAGTATGGCTTCAGAGGAAAATGGCTTCATTTTCCGCATTAGAAGAACCACCTCAAAATTAAGAAAATACGTTTTAGCAACCTTGCTGAATGACAGATGCAAACCTCTTTTGCTCTAATGTAAAATCTCAGCAGGAAGAACTCATGGCGAACCCCTGCTGACATACCTACTGGCTATAAAAGGGCTTCAGAGAAATCCTTGCAAAAGGGGCTTTAGAGGGAAAACAATGTAACCACTCTCCGTTGTAGACATGTACCTTCTAATTTTAAAGATAATACTTCCTTGGAGATTTACTACAATTCTTGTGCTTTTCATATATTAAGGGTGATTTAAACCTGACTGATTTACAGTATGAACAACCAATTCATAAGGTGAACAACTGGAGAAAATATTCCAAGACTTGATTTATGGTGGTAACCTTCATAAGAAAATCAATTGACAATACTTTCTTGAATAGAATTTCTTTGAAACTATAAAGAACTAGACTATATTACAGCATAATGTGTATTGCTCTAAATAATTACAAGTACTGCATTTTATCAGTGTAGGTAATCTAGTTAATTTGGGTTTAAAACCTTTTTCTAGCCTGCCCCCACCCCGAATCCAAACAACTGTTATTTTTGGAAGGGTATCTCGCCGCAACCCTCCTTACCCAGAATGACTCAGGAGACACGGGCCCACGCAAGAGACTTTATTATCTAAAAGAGAGAGTGGCTTGGGGAGAGGTGGGGTGGGGAGAGGGGGAGAGAGGGAGAGAGCGCAGGGAGAGCAGGGGACAGAGACAGAGACAAAGGGAGAGAGAGGGCAGCAGAGAGGGAGCGTGCGCGAGAGAAAGCAGCGAGAGAAAGGGACAGAGAGAGAGGGCAGCAACGTGGTGCCTTTTATTGTGGCGGATCCGCTAGGACTGTTGCCTTGGGGGAGGGTCGGGATGTTTAGAGATAAGGCCGGGTAAGCCCAGCAAGCCCCAGGCAAGCCCCGGCATAATTCTCACCGGCTTATGTGCTTGGGACCATGGGGTAAATGAAGGATAAACACTGTAGTCTTACAATTTTCACCTGTGTATTCAGGTATGTTTCATCACTAGGATTAATGGAAGTTTTACTATTTTGAATCTTTCCTCCCTCCTTAAAACTCTCCTAGTTGCCAGGCAAGAATGTTTCAGGGACAGTGTGTTTAACCATCCCAACATCAAGCTAGCTGGGAATGTTCATTAGCTAAAGAGTAACACAGACTGAATTACTGGAAGGCAGTTTTTTCTTTTGTCTAGAATTAATGAAATTTCTTCGCCTTAGCATGGTGGACTTTTAACAAGATGATCACAAAATAACTATGCCTAAAGAAAGCAATTTGCTTTAATGGCACTTCCAAAGAGACTAAGCCACGGTAAGTGTTAATTGCTGCCTTTCCTTTTCTACCCAGATGCTCGTCATCACCACATACCGAAATGCAAGCAAGATGTGGAAAGTGCTGACTTTCAAAATCACAAGAAACTCCTTTTTAACGTTTCATATTGTTTATTGATGTAGTATACATTAGATCCCAAGGCAGGGACACCACATTTAGATCATCCAGGTTCCTCTGCAGCTTTAGGTCATGTCTACAGAGGTCCCCTTAAAGGGAGGAACAACATAGTCTGTCATCACTGAAAATATAGTACAGAGTGAAATGATTTAAATATAATTCAGGCACATATTGATTAAGAAAATAGATATCTCTCAATACAATACTTCTCTGTCTTGGTAAAAATAATAAAGCAAAGAAAATAATTCATTTCTGAAGGTGCTTTCCTTCACCCGTGAAGGTCCAGCCTCCTCCCACCATGCACATGTACCCTTTACTGGCAAGGAAAGCTTTGCATATGTATATATAGAAGAAGCTACGTAAATATTGAAGATGTGTCATTGTCTTGAAGGAGACAAAGTGGTTTTTAATGATTCATTGCCTCAAAGTGATGAGTCTGTAGAAGTCAGAAATAATTGGACACAGCTTACATCCCTGATCTTGGGGTAGGCAGGCATGAGGACATGGGTTATAGTAAGGATGTACTGGCCCTCTGTCTGCAGAACATATA